GATCGTATTTTAGAGACATTTATTAAAAATTCACGTATACCGACACCGAAACGTATTTTGCCATTTTTGGCTTCTGTCGGGTTCGGATATATTGCAATAATTATTGGTGGTTGCAAACTCGAACCTGTCCTAATTTCTGTATTGATTAAGAGGTGGAGGCCCGAGACACACTTTTCACCTTCCATGTGGAGAGGCTACAATTACATTAGAGGATATCTCTATGCATTTGGGGCTTCTCGTCGATGGAAATATGATGTGTGGTATGGCGGATGGTGACTGACAGTCAATTAGCATTGATTATCTTGGAGTTGCTACGCCAGAGTTTAATGGAGGTAGAATAATTTTATCTTAGTTGAAAGCTAATTTTGAGGTTTTAAATGAAAATGCTTCAGAGGATCAAGCAAAGGCATGTGCTCGGGCATATATTCTACGAATAATTGGAGGAATATTGATGCCCGACAAATCTCGCAACCAGGTGCATTGTATGTGGTTGCGGCATCTGATCGATTTTGATAAGCTGGAAGATATAGTTGTGGCGCTACAGTTTTGGCATTTCTCTTTAGAGAAATGTGTCGGGCGACGAATTATAAGAAAACTGCTATCAGTGGATGTCTCATGCTTCTGCAATCATGGGCGTGGTTCCGCATGCCTTTCTTATGCCCGATCGTGAATGAACCATACGTATTCCCCTTATTATTGAGGTAATTATCGAACTAAATTTTGATTTAAATATTTTTAATTAAATAGGGTGATATTTAGTTTATATTATATTTCATAGGTGGTCGATGAAAAGAAATAACCATAGAAGTATACCTACTGGGTTAGAGGAAATTCATCTACTTATTGATACAAAAGATGGGTCTGAGGTATGATTTTACACCTGTTTAAATATTAATATTTTAATTTAAAATGCTAGATATAATTAGAATATTTTATTTATTTGAATTGTATATTTATATTGCAGTTTCAATGGATACCTTATGCGAGCGATGAAGTGAAGGCTTGCATCTCACCCCACCTTGGTGGGTCATTAGAGGTTTGGATATCGATTATACCTCTTATATATTATGCTATTATTGAGTGGCATCCAGTTGATCGCGTGCTCCGTCAGTATGGTTGTACGCAATATATTCCTGGAGCACCTAAGAATTTAGACGACGTGCATAACATAGATAGACGAGGAAAGCAAGATGTTAGCTGGGTGGTGAGACACAGATATTGGATTGCGCTTTGGGAGAACCGGTATGCAAAGTTGGCCCCTCGACAATATGATGCTGAAACTAGTCATATGGTTACGGATAACTATATGGACTGGTTTAATGAAAATGGGAAGTCGTTTCTACTTTCGGCGGAAGCACGAGGGGTTAGCATTCCTAGGGTCCGAGAAAGACGTCAACCGTCTCAATATCATCGTCCCCCGATGCATGGACTGAGAGAAGGTGCTATCGGTTCTACATCAGTCCCACCACAACATCCTTATCCACCGATGCCACAATGGTACATGCCTAGCCCTCCACTTCAGATGCCATCTCCTCAGGGGTATATGCCAAGCCCACCAGTTCATATGTCATCTCCGCAGGGTTACATTCCTAGCCCGCCAGGTTACATGCCTAGCCCGCAGGGTTTTATACCATATAGAGGTACATATACAGCTATGTTTAATGATCCAACATATGGTTCATATGTATCTTATTTGGCTGGTGGTGCTTCTCCTCAGACACCTCAATCTCCATCTGGATCACAAACATCGATGCCAATGTTTCCACAGTTTTCACAGTTCCCGGGGAGCGGTGGGATGGTTACTAGTACTACTCCAGGGTCGTTATTTTATACATGCCCTTCAGCCCCTTCAGCGTCATCTACGCCAATTGAAGAAAATGCCGATGATGATGATAGTGAAGATGAGGAGACTGAAGAACAAGTTCCACGAAGAAATCCTCCGCGAAATAGACAACCACCGCCATGTGGAACTCATTCGAGAAGACGACATCGGTGATCCAGTTGTATTTTAATGTTATTTAAATAGTTATATTTCAGAAATTTATGTAATTTGGTTATGTTATTTAAATGTTTCATGGTTGTTACTTCCAATATTTTTAATATTATTTTTTATTCAAATTTAACATTAAATGTTTAATAAATGTTTTTAAAATATAAATTATAATATTCGAAATTTAAAATTAAAATAAAAATAATATTATTCGAAATTTAAATTTAAAATATAAATTATAATATTCGAAATTTAACATTAAATTCAAGTTAATATTCCAATTATATTCGAAATTAAAAGTTATATTTCAATTATAGTTCACAGTACTTAAATTGAAATTAAATTTATCCATACATATGATTTTATCATTAACATATATATTAAAACGTATACATTAAAATCAACTTATCACTTCATATTTATTCGTAAAAACATGTCGATGCTCATTCCATACAATTTCAATTAGGGATGGCAAAAAAATCCGAACCCGACGGGAAAAACCGAAAACTGAATTAAACGGGGACGGGGAAAAATCGTTTATGCTAAACAGGGATGGGGAAAAACTATTTATGTTAAACGGGGACGGGGACGGGTTTAGTAATCCTCGCCCCGATTACCCGATTACCCGGCCCGATACCCGGCCTGATAAATATTAAAAATAATTATTTTATATATATATAATATTAATAAATTTAAATTAAATTAAATATATATATATATATTTATATATTTAATTTAAATATATATACTCGGCCCGATACTCGTTTAAATAACTGTTTATGCTAAACGGGGATACCCGTTTCCCCGCGGTTTTCCCTGATTACCCGATGGGGATCCCCGTTTAAATTCCAATGATTTTTTAAGCGGGGACGGGTTTTTTAAACGGGGACGGGGGGACCAATACCCGGCCCGTTGCCATCCCTAATTTCAATGTCACAATAAATTTTTCACTTCACATTTATTCAATTTATCTATAACATTTTATCTAATTTATTCAAGCTTCACATAACGTTTTAATTTAAGTTATGAACTTAAATTTATCTATATGTATAATTGTATCCTTAACTTGCTGAACTTCCAAAAGAAGTTAAATTTTGGTTATAATTTACCTGATTTCACCATCCATTTATAGTTCCCAAGGAACGCGCTTTAAAGTCCCCTAAGGAATAATAGGTATTGACATGAATAGTTCCCGGGGGACATAAGTGACATAATAGGGCAATGATAACATATTCTCTGACAAAATAATGAAAGGCGCCCCCCCGGGAACGCGCCTTCACGGTCCCCTAAGGAATAATATGTATTGACATAAATAGTTCCCGGGGGACATAATAAGTGACATAATAGGGTAATGATATCATATTCTCTGACAAAATAATGGAAGGCGCGCCCCCGGGAACGCACCTTCACGGTCCCCTAAGGAATAATAGGTATTGACACGAATAGTTCCCGGGGGACATAAGTGACATAATAGGGCAATGATAACATATTCTCGGACAAAATAATGGAAGGCGCTCCCCCGGGAACGCGCCTTCACGGTCCCCTAAGGAATAATATGTATTGATATGAATAGTTCCCGGGGGACATAAGTGACATAATAGGGCAATGATAACATATTTTCTGACAAAATAATGAAAGGCGCGCCCCCGAGAACGCGCCTTCACATGAATAGTACCCCGGTTATAGACATTATTATATGCAACGTATTATAAACTTTCAAAATAAACTTCATTTCACAAGCTTTGAAATTCTCAAACTCTAAATTTCTCAAAAATCTTAATCCACTATTCTCTGAAAATGAGTCATCTTTCTACTGTTGTTTTGTATGATGGAGAAATTAAACAAGCTGAAGAGGGGGTTGTTTTTGAGTCAGATCATTATATCCCCTTAACCTTGAAGAGAAACATCACTCTTGAGGAGTTAATCACAAAAATTTCGTTAAAGATTCATGTAGCAGGCCGGAGAAGACTATCTTCACTTCAGTACAAATTTCCTATTGAACTTTTTCCGCTCACGTATACATGATTTCAACTTTTAAACAATGATGATGTTTCTATGATGGTTGATGCTCATATGGGAAGTTCACAATCTCTTATTGAAATGTATGCCACTTTTATTGAGGTCCGTGCTTCTCGTGGTCTCCCATATTCCTCTCACTTTGGCATTGTATATCAAGCTAATCAAGTTGATAGCCCGACACAACTGATCTGTACTGATTTCACATCATTAATGGCGTATCCAACACCAGATGCCATGCCATCAAGTTCAGTAGGAAGGCATTCATCTGCAACTGCTTATGATCTCAACCCACGTGGTTTCACCAATAATCCATATGGCAACATCTCTTCTACTTCAAGGGGCAGACATTCATCTGCCAATGTTTTCGACTTACATATGGAAATGCCAACGAGACGACAGTCTATTCACATCCCACATGATACAATGGCCTCAAGTTCAAGAGGAGGACACACAAGCGGGAACTTATTTGACCTCAACATTAGATTATCGGAGGAACCATCATCTCCACCAGAAGAACCTCTTCGGGAGCCAGGTGCAGATGGTGCTGAAACGGGATTATTCGTTGAACCTGACTCACCACAGTTTAACGTACATTCTGATGATGACGAGGATGACATTCTGATAAATACAACACCAGCCGAACTTCCTGCACATATGTATGGGGTTAATTATGATGTAATGTATGAGCCTGAATTTCTGGATCTTCCTGATGTTGGCAACTATGGACTTCAATCAACAGTTAATGACGGTGATTTATATATTGGAATAGAGTTCGCATCGAAGGAGGAAGCAATGATGGAAATAAAGAGTTACAATATTCGTAACTCAGTTCAGTCCCGAGTTGATCGATCTAACACAGAGAAATATGTCTGCTACTGCGTCCAACGTGATAATGAATGTCAATTGATGGTTCATGTATCAAAGAAGAAGAGGAAGAACAACTTATGGGAACTAACCAGATACAACGGTCCTCATACGTATTATGCAAGAGGTATAAACCAGGATCATCCCAACTTGGACTCCAACATTATTTGCCAAGCAATCATGCCCATTGTGAAGCAAAGCTCTCATATAGATGTTGCAGTGTTGATTTCTGCTATACAGTCACAATATGGGTACACCGTCTCATATAAAAAAGCTTGGTTGGCAAAACAGAATGCCATTTACAAACTTCATGGCGAATGAGATTCATCTTACAACGAGCTGCCTAGTTGGTTTCATGTTGTGCAAAGACTCAATCCCGAGACAATTGTTGAGTTCGAAACTCAACATCATTACGTGAATGATCGAGTGGTTCGTGATCGCTGCCAATTCTACCGTGTCTTTTGGACTTACCCTTAATGTATTAATGCAGTCAAGTACTGTAAACCAGTTGTCCAAATTGATGGTACTTTCTTGTATAACTCAACATCATTACGTGAATGATCGAGTGGTTCGTGATCGCTGCTAATTCTACCGTGTCTTTTGGACTTACCCTCAGTGTATTAATGCAGTCAAGTACTGTAAACCAGTTGTCCAAATTGATGGTACTTTCTTGTATGAGAATTCAAACAAGTTTTATTATTGGTTGTGGTCCAATATGGAAACCGCAATATTCTTCCCGCTGCGTTTGCCCTCGTTCAAGGAGAAGACACTGAGTCTTGGGCTTTTTTCCTTAAAAATTTACGTTTACATGTTGTCACCAGGGAACGAGTATGCATTATTTCAGACCGAGGAGCTGGGATAAAAGCAATAATGGACTCTTTGGGTACAATGTATAGACCTCCACATGTTCAACATCGTTATTGTGTCTGTCATATTGCTGCAAACTATTACGGAAAATACAAGAAGAACGATGAACGTCAATTAGTCGTGCGGATGGGTATGTTACTTTTCCCCAATTTTTCTATCATTTTCGCATTACTTATTTATACTTCATATTAACTATTACATATTCCTAATGGCTTAGGTTACGAACTCTTACCTCAAAGGTTTGAGTCGATGCTACAAGAGTTGTTTGGCAAAAATAAGAAGGGGTGCGAGTACATTATGGACATCAGCAAAGAAATGTGGACAAATGCGTATGACGGGGGGTATCTCTATGGTCATATGACAACAAACTAGGCTGAAGCAATAAATTCAACCTTAAAGGGGGCGCGTCATTTACCAGTCACGACATTGGTCAAAATGCTATTTTCGTTTGGGTCAACTCTTTGCAAAGCTCGGTGGACAAGCTCTTACTTGGATGCAAAACGGTCATATTTACCACCCAAGACTTGTAGCTCATTTACAAAAAAAGGTGGCTGCATCAAATGAGATGTTGGTTACAAATTTTTCTCGCACCCGTGAATTGTTTCGTGTAACCGAAATGCCACGTCAGTTGCAAGGGATTGAAGCTAACTCTTTCAGAGTTAATTTGCATGAGAGGTGGTGCGATTGTGGTTTCTTTCAAGCACTCAAATATCCATGCTCTCATGTCATTGCAGCTTGCTCACATTCGCATTTGGACTACAAAAATTATGTTGATCCCGTATACCAACTTTCACAAGTATTCAAGGTATATGAATTTGAGTTTCCGCCTATAGGAAACGAAAGATACCCAGATGAGATTCAAACTTAGCTTACAATTGTACCAGATCCATTGCTATTGAGGGACTCAAGTCGTCCAAAATCTACTAGAATACATTGTGATATGGATATTTGGGAGAAGTCAACAGAACAAAAATGATGTGGGCATTGTAGAAACATCAGACACAATAGAAAAAAATGTCCAGCTCTATTATCATCACATAACCGTTAACCCTTATGTAACCTAATATTCTATTTAAATGAATGTTTTTGTTTCTAATATTTAAATGTAATTGCATTTTCTACAATTTCTCAATGTATAATAATAATAACAGATTAAATGTGTAATTATACTAATTTTATTAACTTATGCATCAATATTTTGGTTAAATAATAATAACAGATGACTAGATTGATAATATTTAAATAATTAAGTGATAAAATTAATAGATCGATAATCAAAATAAAAAATAATAATATAACCATACGTGTAATATAATAATTTTATACATTTTTCATATAACTACAATAAAATAAAACTAGTTTTCATCTGTTGTTCTATCCGATTAATGTGGATAATACACTTCACCTTTAACACACATTAAAAAAATACATTCAATAATTATTAAATTATAACTGAAACAATTTACATAATATATTACTAATTTATAATAACAATAAAAATAAAAATTTTATTATTAAAAAAATACCACGTGGCAACTGAATCAGCAAAATAAAGGTAAAGCGCGTCCCCGGGGATGCGCCTTTCACATGTGGCATCCAACTCAGTGTAAAACCAGGTAAAGCGCGTCCCCGGGGATGCGCCTTTTGCCACCTCAGCCGAAAGGGTGCCACTTCGGGAAATATAGAACAAACGGTGCTAAAAAGGGAGATATTCGGTTAAAGGGTGTCAGTTTGGTCAAATCGCCGGATCTAAATACCAGTACCCTTTGTGAACAGCAAAAAAACCAAGAAACATACAAGGCACAGACCTAAACTGAAGTTTGTGTTTACTAAAAGATCTAAGCAATGGAAAGCACGGTGTATTTCTCTAAAAATTATCGGTGATCGGTATATTTATCGATCTAACACCAGTCAGATTATATTTTTCAATCTAACACCCGTAGCAGTAAAGCGCCCCCTTGAACCGCGCTATATGCTGATTTGGCGTCACGTGGGGTATAGCGCGCCCCCTGTACCGCGCTATACGCTGACATGGGTTACACGTGTGTATAGCGCGCCCCCTGATCCGTTCTATACGCCACGTAGGGGTATATCGCGGATCAAGGGCCACACTATACGCCACGTAGGGGGTGAATTATATTTAACGCGATCTCTGGTCCGCGCTATATCTTTTATCTGAATAATTACATATAGCATAGTGTAGGTACCGCGCCTTATATGGTTATAAATACCCTCCTCCGCCGGTTAAGTTTCTCACATCTCCTCGCATCTCTCCTCTCAACTTATAAATTAATACAACAGTTCCGTCAACGAGTAATAATTCTGGCAATCTTCTCATATTTGATTTAGAAGTTCGTGCGATTTTTCGTTATAAGGTAATTTTGTTATAATTTTTTAATTATACTTATTGTTTATTATCATTATTTGAAAAAATATTATACTAATTATTTTCAATTAATTTTTATGTTTGTAAAATTGAAAAGCGAGAGCATACGTCGAAATAGTTTTGCGGTGTAGGTAAATAATATAAAATTATATTATTTAAATTATTTACGTTGATGTGTAAAAAATTTATTGTGTTATATTTTCGTTCATATATAATTTATTTAATCAGGTTTGTTTCAGTTATTTTTTTCAGATATAATATTGCCGCACTTTTAATCTCAAAGAATGGCGTGACTTTCAGCTATTGTTTATTATGATGGAGAAATTTGAGAAGATGAAACCGGCGTTGTTTTCGTATCAAATGAGCGTTTTAAAATATCATTCAAGAGAAACATAACTCTTGAGGAGCTGATAACGAAGATTTCGAGGAAGATTCATGTTGGAAGTAGTAGAAGAATGTCGTCGTTGCAGTACAGATTTCCAACATCATTGTTGCCATTAACTTATACAGCTTTCGAACTTTCGAACAATGATGATGTTCAAATGATGGTTGAAGCTCAAAGTAATTATTTAGACGCCGCTATTGAGATGTATGCACATTTTGTTCAAGTGTGTACTGTTCGGGGTCAATCATTAAGCTCCCACTATGGGCTGGCTGAACAAGTTGACAGCCCGACTACAGTAATGTGTAATGATTTTAATGCCATAATGGGGAGACATTCATCCGCAACTCCTTACGATATGTACCGAGGTGGGTCCACGAACAATCCGTATGGCAACACCGCGTCCAGTTCAAGAGAAAGACATTCATTTGCAAATTTCTTTGACCTTAATATGGAGATGTCATCGACGCAACAATTTGTGCAGTTTCCATTTGACACGATGTCTTCAAGCTCCAAGGGAAGGCATTCGACTGCGAGCTTTTTCGATCTCAATGTCGATATGCCTTCTAGTTCAAGGGGAAGACATGCAAGTAGTAGGTTCTTCGACCTAAATGTGGAGCGCATGGAGGAACCATCATCTCCACCAGAAGAACCGCTTCGTGAGCCTGGTGCGGATGGTGCTGAGACCGGACTATTAATTCACCCAGAATCACCGCAATTCAACTCCGATGATGATGATGTAGATGAAGTTCCAGGAAATGTGACACAAACTGACCCTCCTGCACACATGTATGAAGCTGATTATGGTGCAATGTACGGGCCAGAATTTACGGATATGCCTCATCTCGGTGACTATGGATATTACTCATCAATCAATAATGGTGAGTTATCTTTAGGCATGGAGTTTTCAAGCAAAGAAGAAGCGATGATGGCTATCAAAAATTACAATATCCGTAATTCTATTCAGTCTATAGTTAACCGATCGACGACCAAAAAATATGTATGCTACTGTACCCGACGCGAAAACAGATGCAATTGGATGGTTCGCGTATCAAAAATGAAGAGGAAAAACAACATATGGGAACTAACAGTATACAACGATCCTCACACATATTATGCTGGAGGTGTCAACAAAGATCATCCCAACTTGGACTCTGAAATGATATGCCAAGCCATCATGCCCATGGTAAAAGAAAACTCTCATATAGCTGTTGCAGTATTGATTTCAGCTATACAATCGCAGTATGGGTACACTGTCTCCTATAAAAAAGCTTGGTTGGAAAAACAAAATGCTATTGTCAAACTTAATGGCAAATGGGATGCATCTTACAACGAATTTCCAGGTTGGTTTAGGCTGGTGCAGACGTTGAATCCTAGGACAATTGTGGACTTCGAAACCTCCTATGCATACTATAATGATCGAGTTCTTTGCAACGAGGCCAATTCTACTGGGTTTTTTGGAGTTACCCACAGTGCATTAATGCTGCCAAATACTATAAGCCC